AATATGTAATAAAAATATGACTATTAACTGATAGCTTCACGCAAAGGAATTCAACATCGTTGCCTTCCTCAAAAGTTAATAATTCGGACGTGAGAGTGGAGTCGACCGCTATAAAGACACCTCCCCCAAGTCTGATAGGCCGATCTAGCCGGTATACTGTGAACACAGCTGGAGCTCAGAATCTCCGGCTTTAACCAGGTTTCTAGGAAAAAAATAACTTGGAAAGCAAATAACAGACTTTTAGAATACAATTTAGGAAGCTTACTACTTAAGTTTCTTGCATTTTGCAGTGCTCAGATCGGGCCTAGGAGGACCTAATTCCAAATTACAATTTTTCCACCTTAATTTTCTTTTTCGGCTCTGCTCTGCCTTGGATGGGAATTTAAAATGTTAATTTAAAAAATTACATTTTATTTATTTATTTTATTTTTTTAGTTAAAATAATGCATTTTAAATTTAGCTTAGAGTAATATTTCCTTTTTTTATAAAAATATTTAATTAATGTTACTTCTGTATCAGGTCACTTACTATATTCTGGATCTGGTCACACTAATCGTTGAGCTACGCTCTCTGAGAAAGCAGGTTACCCTCTCTCAGAAAGCGCCGCTTGTGAATTTCGGGGGTTTGAAAGGTCTGCCGCCTGCGAGAAAAGATCACTGTTTTAAAAGAGCACTTAAAATTTCTAAGCTGGAAAGAAGACGTGAAACGTGCACAAGAATAACATCCTGTCACACTTCTTTTTAAGTTCTTAGAGAATGTTTAAAAAACATTACATGATAATTCCAATTGATTGATTTTGAATACAGAATTATCGTAAACTAAAGCCAGGCTTAGAGACTCAACTAATTTTATATTTTATATTTTTATATTTTATTATATAAAAATAAGTCGGGTTTTCCATTCGGATCCTACTACTCCAGAACGCACAAGCCGATTTTCACGGTTTTGCATTCGTTGGAAAGGTCTCGGAATTTGTGATTTTTGCAGTAAAGAAAATTCGGGAAAAATTACAACAGAAAAGCGGGAAACTCATTTTTGCATAAAGCGCCATCACTGATACATAGCATGCCATAATTCTCTACTCAGTTTATTTTATGAAACAAACCGAAATGTGTTCAATTTTGTGAAATTGTGAAGAAAAAGTAAAAAAATAAGTTATTCGTTTCCTAACAGTGCAATTGGAAACCAGCTTTTGTCTTTAAGGTGGTAAGATGAACTGAGTTAATTATGTGGATTTGAGGTTAAATTAACCACTCTGCCTATAGTCCTTGATCAAGACCTACCCAGAATTCCCCTGATAGTTCAACAACGCTATGATCCAAGTATTTCTGAAATAAGCCGACTACCATCGAATCGCTGCAGAATTACTATCCAATCGGGACCAGCGGTGAGAATATTCTCAGCTATTGCCGACCTGTCTTCGTCCACGATTTTAACTAATTTAATATTGGGCACTTTCGAATAGTTTAGTAAAACAAATGGTGCATCTGAAATTGGGAATTTTTAGCTTTTTGTCTATGTGTTAGCGCATCACGCGATCTTTGCATTTTATTCTTTTTCTGCACGCTGTTCTTCGCCAGTTCTGTTGCTTCTGTATACTTGACCGCAACCGCACGCAAAATCGCTTATCAATCTTTGTACAGTAACCCATGGGGTGATCACCTCCTTGGTCACCTGCAGCATAGCTGGGAATATTCCATCTAGTCCTGGTGCTTTTATCCTCGCAAAGGAGTCTATAGCCCAGTGGATTCTACCAGAGGATATTAAACCTTTTGGGAGATGCTCTACTCCAGTTGCTAGGTCCTGGTGCTTATTTGCATCGGGTACCTCAGTGCATCCTGGGAAATGCGCGTGCATTAGTGCTGTTAGGGCCTCTTCGCTGCCCTCAGTCCACTGTCCGTCGCACAGTAGCGCCTCTCAAACAATTAACGTTGCAAAAATCGAAAAAGTCATGTTCGCAAAAACGATTTTAACCATACTTATTTGACAGAAAATTTCCCAAAGATTCAGAATCTGCAATCAAATCTATTTTAAGATTTTTTTTAGAAGATATGAGCATTTAAAGTTGAACTTTCTTTTGTTTTTTGCATCATACCAAAAAAAGTAGGTAAATGGTCGACTTTCAGGTAATATTACACAAAAACCATAAAACCAATGGTCATGGTTTTTACTTTAAATTATAGATACATTCATAAATTGTTAATTAACCCAAAAAAAACGGCACTTTGGTTTGGACTTGTACAGGTAAATCGCCACCTGCCAGGTGTCAATTTTTTTCACCTTTTTCTGCCTAAAGTAGTCTATAACTTCTGAAGCCGATGAAAGCCACCGACTACACTATATCTACAAGTTACGTGGATCTTTCCTGAACCAGAATTAACTTTCATCGGCTGCGTCGAGCTGCGTCTGCGAAAATGCAACGACATAAACCAAAGCTACTCATGGTGAAATATACCAAAAAGTCCGACACAATTTCATACATTCCAAGAAATATACTAACTAGCGGTTACACTTTGAAATAAAAAAAATTTTTTTTTTCAGTTTTCAAATTATTTTTATTTGAGCAAATACATAAAAATAAACATAAAAAATTAAATACAAAATATTTTTAAAAAATTGTTTTTTTATTATTTTTTCACTTTGATCCCCTTTAAAAAGGCGTATTTGTGGGTGTGGTACTTTATTCAGTACATATATATATTGTAACGAATCTCTTCGGCCGGGATAGATCCCAGTCGTGACCAGGGATCCTCTTCAAGAAATTTATTTAGAGGGGACGGAAATATTTATAGGAATTTATTATAACAGCGTGCGGGACCCGGGTTGCGAATTTACGCGCACTTAGTTCTGATCCCCGAGGGTCGGCAACGTGACTGCCAGACGAGGTGGTCACGAGATGCTCTAGGAGCAGGCGGGGCACACGCGCTGCTTGTCAATGGCCGGTCGCCACGCTGCTTTTACCGACTCGTCGATCTGCTTGATCGGTCGGTCCCTGACACAAAGCTGCTTGTCGCGAACTGCTTTCAGGCACTGCTTGCGCCCACTGCTTGTTTATACTGCTTTCGCCGGTGCGCGGAGTGGCAACTCCGGTGGGCTCCTGGCGGGATTTGGTTGATCTCGCCCAGAATTCGGGTGACGTGGGTCAGGGAAATGGTCAGGGCGTCAGAGAGGCGTTAGCTAGCTCCGGTTGGGCGCGGAGGCTGACTACGGGTCGGGCAGGCAGAGGTTCTGGTATCACCGGGGTGATGCACGGTGTGGGGAATGGCCAATGCAGGCGGGGCGGCAGCGTGTGTCGAAGTGTCTCTAATCTAGGAGTGGACACGGGCGCGGATGCCCTCGTAGTCGTGGCGGTACACGGGACGCGGGAAACCAGCGTTAGTGTGGCGCGGCGGCTACGGGCACAAGAAGGGGGTCCCTAGTGGGGCGAAGGCAGAGGAGCACGTGTCCTCCAGTTGCGGCGGCACGTGGAGCACGGAAGGAGCCTGTGCTGGCGTGGCGCGGCGGCTGCAGGTATGACCGAGGGTCCTAAACTGTGCGTGGACGGAGGAGTATGTGTACTCCAGTCGCGGCGGCGCGCTGTGCACGGTAGAGCCAGCGCTGGCGTGACGCTACGACTGCAGTTGCGGCAGAGGATTCCTAAGCTGGGCGTGGGTGGAGGAGTAGGTATCCTCCAGTCGCGGCGGCACGCTGTGCACGGAATGAGCCTGTGCTGGCGTGACGCTGCGGCTGTGGGCACGGGAAAGGATTCCTAACTGAACGAGGGCAGAGGAGCAGGTGTCCTCCAGTCGCGGCGGCACGCTGTGCACGGAATGAGCCTGTGATGGCGTGACGCTGCGGCTGTGGGCACGGGAAAGGATTCCTAACTGAACGAGGGCAGAGGAGCAGGTGTCCTCCAGTCGCGGCGGCACGCTGTGCACGGAATGAGCCTGTGCTGGCGTGACGCTGCGATGGGAGCACGGGAGAGGATTCCTAGCGGCGCGGGGCAGAGGAGCAGGTGGTCTCCAGTCGCGGCGGCACGCTGGGCACGGAAAGAGCCTGTGCTGGCGTGACGCTGCGGCGGGGAGCACGGGAGAGGATTCCTAGCGGCGTGGGGCAGAGGAGTAGGTGTCCTCCAGTCGGGGCGGCACGTTATGCACGGAATGGACCTGCGCTGGCGTGACGCTGCGGCTGTGGACGCGGGAGAGGATCGATGGGAGGCTGGATGGCCGTAAAACACGTGCGAGTGGAAATGCCGAAACGCAGTGTTTTGGGGCCGCCAGCGGGACAGAGATCGGGGAACCTGAAACCGTGACCAATACTACCAAGGAAATACTACTACGGGTAGGTTCAATTGTTAGTTTATTGGTTATGGGGTTATCTAAGTGTGTAGCCTACTACTGCCTTACAGAATTGACTCCGGTAACTTACGAATCTAGCCCCCCTTTGTCTGCGGGCGTGTGGCTGCCGATCGCGGTCGTTGGCTGGCACAATTTATCTCCGCGAATGTGTGGGCTCTGGTAGCCGATGGCTCTGCGCGGTCACGTACGTCGCGGTTGCTACTCAGGACTCGATGCACTGTGTTTTCCTGACTCGGTCGCGGAGGCGCGGCGATGGGCACGTCTGCCTCGGTGCGAAGTTTCGACGGAAGAGCGCGAATGCCCGGAAGACGCGAGCTGTCACAGCTTTTGAGAACTGGTGGTTCGAACCAGTTCGACGCGATTTGATTTAGTTCTAGTTCGACTAGTCGATCATTTTCCCGGTTCGGCGACTTCTAAGGTGCCGAACTTAGCTTAATATTTTTAAATTAACTATTTTTACTTTTAGTATACTTCAAGTCTGCGTCTGTTAAGGCTTCAATGCCAACTTAAACGTTTAATTCATGAGATTTTTGTGTGGCTCCAGTGCCGTCTTAATCCTAATGATTATATAATAGGGGGGAATATCGATATACTTATTATCTAATTATTAATTTATAGCAAAAATGTTGTGCGCCTGTAGAATAGAGGCGTCACACTCCCTTCTTACCCCGCCCGGCCGAAACGGATCTGGACCTCTCCTGTCGTTTTCATGGTGACCTGATATGGGCCTTCCTGCGTGCGAACGCGGAAGCGCTGACGGGAGTACTGTGCGGCATGGCTCCGGCGCGCTATCTCCTGCCAAACCGCCAGTGGAACTCGCTGGTCGTGCGTGTTAGTCCACCAGGCGGCTGGTATGGCGACTCGCTCGGGCGCTGGGTCGTCGGTGGTGAAATCATCCGCCGGAGGGGCTCGACGAGCAAAGCGTGGCGCCGGAGGTGGAACCTCGTCGGCGGTGGTGGCCGCAGGAACTGGGCGCGGGAAGCGCGGTGCCGGAGGTGGGACCTCATCGGCGGTGGTAGCCGCAGGGACTGGGCGCGGGAAGCGCGGTGCCGGAGGTGGGACCTCATCGACGGTGGTGGCCGCAGGGACTGGTGCTGTCGAAGGTGCGCTCGGGTCCCAATCTGGGATTAACTCCTGTAGCAGACCCTCTACTCCCGGCACGAGCTCCTCCATGAGTATATCCATCGTGCCCGGAGAGAGATCGAACCCACGATCTCCGAAGCCGACACGTGGGGTGGCTGGGGGAGTGACCTCCTCGTGGGTAGTGGAGCGGCTATGGTTTGCTGCCCGGCGGTTGATCTCGGCAGCGTTGGGCGGCGCGTTCCTTGCGGTGGCTATCCCGCGGCGGTGGGCCGAGGATCGCTGGTCTGGCATAGCAATGTTCGGCGGTGGCCGTGGTTGCGCCTCCTTGCGGCGGAATTTTTGTCCCGTCTCCGTTTCACTATCGCTGCTCTCAGATTCCCACTCCATCGCCTTCCCGGTGGGCTGGTAGCCCTGCTCGGTGGTTTCGTTAGCGATGGGAATTGGGCCTCGGCTTGGGGATGCTAGCGGGGCGTTGTCATCGTCCTGGTTGGTGTTGTGGCGCGTTTGCTGGCTGGTAGATGCCAATGGTGTGTCGTTGTGCGTTTGGAGGTGGAGCGCTTGCTGGCTCGTGGACGCCAGTGGAGCGTTGTCATCCGCGGGGTGGATGAGGTGGAGCGCTTGCTTGCTCGTTGTCGTCAATGGCGCGTTGTCACCTGCCCGGTCGCCGGGGAAGATGGGTAGGGCCGCATCTTCCCCCAGTGCTGGCGACGGCGGGCGGACCCCGGGTGCGTTTCCCAAGTCCATTTCCCAGTCTTCGTCCGGGGCCATTATACACAGCCTCTCCGGTGACGGGGGAAAGGTGAGGATGGGTCAGGAGTTGGCCGGAAGGGTGCCTCGATGAGGATGGAGGTGTAGCGGGCGTGGATTAACTGGATCCACGATCCCCGCCAGAACCCGTACCGCTCCTCTCCTTCCCATTGATAGTGGGCTGCCGAAGGGGCACCATCGTCTGGCTCGCTGTCGCTATTAATTGTTTGCGCGTCGTCGTTGCTCTGCTCGCTAGCTTCCTCCCCGTGGTATCCGGCGTACAGAGGGGTGGCGTCGCTGTCGGTGGCATCCTCCAGCACGTAGTCCTCGTCGCGCGTCGGGGCAGCTGGACTGGGGGATCGGGAGTCTCCCTCCTCGTCGTCATCCTCGTCTGACTCCGGGTCCTGCTGGCGAGGGCTACATGGGCTGTAACGCCCTTCAGGTGGTGGAGCAGCAGCGGTCGGGTCGGGGTGTCCTGGAGCGGGGTGCGGGTTGTGGAACCAACGCGAGTGACCCGGCGCATCCGGGTTGTGATACCCTTGGTAGGGTCCCGACGGCGGAGCTTGAGAGCAGGGGATCCTGCGTCCAGTCCTGTCCGTGTAGTACGGGGAGGCCGAGCGGCCCGAGGGTCGTGGAGGCGTTGGTGGCGCGGCGCGCCGAGTTGGCGACGACTCGGACATTGGGTGCGGCGTGGCTCGGCGCGGTGGCGCTCTGGGCATGGTTGGCTGCATCGGGGGCGACGGGGCTCGGCGCGGTGGCGCTCGGGCCTGTCGGATCCCGGTTGGGCAGGCTCTTGTGGGTCTGCCGGCGTAGTATGTGCCAGGGCGTAGCCGGGGGTTGCGGCCGGTCGTTGGCCTGTCGTACGCTCCATTGGGAGCCGTGTTCTCTTCGTCGCTGGAGTCGATTGTGATGGGTTCCATCCTGGTTAGCTCGTGGCACGCGCGTAGATACGTCTATGGGAGAAAAGAACTATCCAAACTTAAACTAACCAGTACTTAAATGTTAATGTCCTAACGGGCAGTAGTAGGCAAAAGTTCTAATGTTAATCTAATTGCTAACAATGGTCTTAGGGTTAGAAAACTTAGTGGGCTGCTTAAATTCACCCCTCGCTGGTATCGTGGTCAGGTGGCCGTGGCTTGTCGGACCCGGGTTGAACGCCGGTGTTGTCCTCCGACATGGCGTCGTCGTCAGTGTCTGCATCACCTGCGGGAAGAGAAGAATGGAATTCTTTTAAGTCGGCGATATTGGCAAGGCGGCCCTTTCGTTTCCCGGGCAAGCGGATTCGGGCTATGTTTGGGGACGGAAGGGCGACCACTTTATATGGCCCGTCGAACTTGGGCGCGAGTTTGGCAGCGAACCCGTCCACCGCTTTGGATAGGTGGTGTTGGCGCACGAGGACCAGGGAGCCGATGGTGGGCCTCCATGCCCGACGCCTGAGGTCGTACTGCCGTCCTTGGTCGCGGCTTGCCTTCTGGATGTTTGTTTGGACGATCTGGAAAATTTCCTTCAGTCGTCCAGCTCGGTCGGCAGGGGTCTCCGGAGCGACGCCTGCTCCCGGTGTCACTTGATCGTACCATGAGCCCGGTAACCGCGGCTCTCGTGCCTGTAGTAGGAAAGCCGGGCTGTACCCTGTGGTCTCCGAAACGCTGGTATTGATGGCGAGGCTCAGCTCAGGTATTAGCTGAACCCACGTACTCTGATCACTGCCGACGTACTGAGAGATCATGGTCTTGACTGTGCGGTTCGCTCGCTCCGTGGGGTTCTCGCGTGGGCAATAGGGGGCCGTGTATTGAAGTTCTACGCCCATCTCCCTAAGGAATCCTCTGAAGGCCTTGCTGGTGAATTGGGTGCCGTTGTCGCACACCAGTTTCCTTGGGGCTCCAAACCTCCCGATGATTCTTTCGCGGAACGCCTGTATCAACGTGGTGGTGGCTTTTCGCAATGGGACCAGTTCCACCCACTTGGTGAAACTATCGAAGAAGACCAGCAGCATTGTGTTACCTGCCTTGGAGCGCGGTAGTGGCCCCACGAAATCTGCACATACGATGCCAAAGGGTTCGTCGACCTGCCTCGTCAGCATCCTTCCTGCTTGTGCCTTTTGCTCTGCTTTATATTTCAGGCAGAGGACGCATTGACGGACGTATTGTTTCACGTCGCGGAACATTCCGGGCCAGTAATATTTTTGTGAGATCCGCAGAATCGTCTTCCGGGTGCCAAAGTGGCCAGCCGTGGGCGCGTCGTGGCATTCTTGGAGAATCCGTGCTCGATGCTCAGCCGCAACGCAGAGCTTCCAAGGAATATAATCTTGGTCGTCTGGGCGGTGTCCGAGGTGTCGATACAGCTCTCCGTTTTCGATGACATAATCGGGAAATCGCTGGGGGTCGTCCTGAACTTCCGTGAGTTTTCGTTTCAGCCATTTGCACAATCGTTCGTCTGGCATTAGTCGCTGGAGGTGCTCCAGTGGTTGCCGGGATAGGGCATCGGCGACCACGTTATATTTCCCGCGGCGATAGTGGACATCGTATTGGTACTGTTGAAGTTCTAAGGCCCACCTGGCGATCCTTCCAGTCGGGTTCTCAATTTGATCTAACCATTTCAGGGCCAAGTGGTCTGTGATCACGTCGAAGCGATAGCCTTCGAGGTAGCATCGTAGTTTACGAATTCCCCAGACGATGGCTAGGCATTCCTTTTCCGTAGGAGAATAATTGAGTTCGGCAGCGTCTAGCTTCCGACTCACGTATGCGATGACCCGTTCTTGCCCCTCTATTTCTTGCGTCAGCACACCTCCGAGTCCATAGTTGCTCGCGTCGGTCTGGAGCGTCATCTTGACGGAAAAGTCTGGACATGCCAGTACCGGAGCATCCGTTAGCAGACTTTTGAGGAGCTCGAAGGCTTTCTGTTGTTCTTGCTCCCACTTCCACCGCTGGTTTTTGCGCAGCAAGTTCGTCATGGGCTGAACAACAGACGCGAAGTTCGGTACGAACCTCCTGTACCATGAGGCCATGCCTAGGCATCTGCGTAACTCTCGAAGACTCGTGGGTGGACTGAGGTTCCGTACGGCGGCTACCTTTTCAGGGTCCGTGTGAATGCCCTGGTCGCTAATGACGTGGCCGAGATAAACCAACTTCCGTTTGAAGAAGGAACATTTGTCTTCTTTATCCGTAAGTTCGCCTTCCTGAGCCGCTTGAAGACTCTCCGCAAATTTTCCATGTGCTCTTCGAGACTGGCACCGATGACGATTATGTCGTCTAGATAAGCGAAGGCATATGGGTCCAAGTCTGGCCCGATCACGCTGTCGAGCGCTCGCTGGAAGGTGGCTGGAGCCGAATGGAGCCCAAAAGGCATGACCCGCCACTGGAAAAGGCCGCGGCCAGGGACCGTAAAGGCGGTACACGCCCGACTGCCTGCTTCCACTGGAATCTGCCAATAGCCATTGCGCAAATCCAGGGTGGAAATATATTTTGCATTTCGGAGCCGCTCAAGGATATGGTTGATACGCGGCAGGGGATACGCGTCGGGGATCGATTTGGCATTTAGCTGACGATAATCTACGCACATGCGCCATTGTCCAGTCAACAGGGCGCCCTCAAGATTCTCCTCGGGTGTCTCGGGGTGTGTGTCGATGTGTGTCTCTGTGTGCTTGTCCTCGGTGTTTACCATCTCATGTAGGTTCATGAGATTACTCTCAGAGGTTCCTGTGCTTGGGTTCCTGTGTGCCTCTGTGTATTTCCCTTGTGTGCCCGCGCTGGGGCTCTCGTGTGTCTCTGCGAGTCTACCTTGTGTGCCCGCGTCGGGGCTCCCGTGTGTCTCTGTGTGTCTTCCTTGTGTGCCCGCGTCGGGGCTCCCGTGTGTCTCCGTGTGTCTTCCTTGTGTGCACGCGTCGGGGCTCCCGTGTGTCTCTGTGTGTTCATTGTATTGCTCTCCGGTGTTAGTATTCTCGTGTATCTTGTGTTGCTCTCCGGCGTGTGTCTCCGTGAAATGGTCGGCGATGCCCAGGCGGGGGGTCTTCCGGGCGAGTAGGCGGTGCTTCCTCGCTCAGCTCGGATCCGGCTGGGCCCCGTGGGCTGGGTGGTTCGGTGGTTCGAGAGTCCGTTGTATGTATGCTGCGTCTCGCGTCTCTGGGTGGCCTCATGTCCCGCTCTTCCGGCTGTCGTCTCGACAGGATGAGTTTGGCCGTCCCACACTGGATGGTGGTGCCGATTGTGGCCAGGAAATCCATGCCCAGGATCAGGGGTTCCAGCATGGCCGGCATAACGAAGAGGGGCACCTGGATAGTCTTCCGAGCGAGGGTGATATCGGCGCGCAGGAGTTGTCGAACCTCGACTCGCGAGGTGTCGGCCAAGTTAATTTGGGTGCGGATCTCCTGAAACTGGTGTCGTTGGCCAACTAGTGCGACGACCCACGTCGCAACACAAACACAAACAACAACAAGACATGAAGTCACCTACCTAATTTGTACATAAAAACATAGAGTAAGGAGAAACACATGAAGTATACACAATTTAGATATGAAGTCACATTCCTCATTTGTACATAGAAACATAGACTAAGACATAGATTAAGAATAAAAACAAACTACACGAAACGACCAGATTCAAATTATGGCGGGCGCGGGGAAAGACAAGAAGTACGGGCACACTGGCACCAGGTGGCAACGCCAACCGAAACATGATGCACCCAGCCCTGAACAGCTGACACTAATCGAGTAGATCCGGTCGATCCGGCAACGCTCTGCCTATCGACCATACGGGAGTTATCGATTATCGATCAAGGGAGAACAGCTGTCAGCCGGCTATATAAAGCGGCGCACCGGCCAGTGCAAGTTCACTTTTGCAGAGCAGCCGAGCAGTGAACTGGTGAGTTAACAAGTAGTACTAATCGTAGACTTAGCAATAGAATAAGGTTTGGCCCTGGCGGCGGACCTTAATAGCAAAGAAGGTAGGAAAGGTGAAGGTAGCGTTAGGTCTAGATCTGGCCCCTGCAGGCGGATCTAACGAAGTAGCTGGGAGGAGCGGAGTTTG